AGCGACGTATACAACGCGTGTAAAATACATTGTTTGTTTACATGAAATTCGAACACGCGTTGCGCGACAACCACCGCCCTTTAAATGTATAACCTTAGTTGTTGTTTACGCACGAAATGTACACCACCTTGTCCCAATAACCGAGATAATCCCATTTATTTACGGCTTGAAAATATGTCAAGGTCCACGTCAGTAACACGAGAACGTGTCAAGATCTCGCAAGAATAACCAATGAATTGTGTTCCAGCCCATTCCATATCACGTATCACCAAACTGTTACGTACAGTTCATTGCGTCCTAAACTAAACTGGTTTAGACTGGTTTATTTTTTTGTATAATTTATTGCAGAGTTACAACAATTCACGCTTTATTTCCAGCGGAAGTGTGAACGTTGACTCTTAGTTTCGACGTGATACTTAATGTCTTAAATATTTCATGGTGATTATTCTTTGTGTGCACATGCCTTGTTATTTTGTCACCACGATTTTTTAAAGCCTTCATTTATAACCTATTTAATTTAATACTTAATTGTTTCATGCAATATAGACTACTTACTACACCGGAAAACTCAATCTTCCGTTATTATTTGAGTCAAATATATGGGTGACATGCAATTTTTTTTAAAACTGCGCCCTCATCGATGGTCTCGTCGTATTTGTATCCGTCGGTGGGGGCGCATTAACAAAAAGAAGAAACGATTATCAGAGTACTGCCGCCGGCTCCGTCTGTTTTCTCAATACAGCTCCCTTCTTCGCCTCACTACCGGTATCGAAGCGACGAACACAGACATCGTGTCTGTAGTCATGAGGACAGTCCGCTACCCCACCACAGATTAATAATATTCAACGACATCAAATAATTAAAAGCGTAAACGTAAAAATATTATTTTTAAAAGTAGTCAAGAAAGACTACTTGATTGCAATCCTCGGGGGCGGAGCTACGTCACAGACGTTCTACGTTGCTAAGACGCGCACCATTGTACGACGTATTTCTATGGGCTCTGTGTGCGCTGCTGTGGAACGCCGGTCGAGCCGGCGAAAATTCGAGAAAACAACACAAACTCAACTTTGAAGTAATCCTGAACAACCGAATATATATATGTTACACAAGTAGGGCTAATCTTGTTACACTGTTCAGAGAAGTCTCAACAATCATCCCAAAGTACCGTTTTCGGCGAGTTTTTGGCCTTTGTTTTCACCGCGATGGTCATCCTTAGAAATACAATGTTTCTATCAGTTAATAGCAATAAAGATTAGTTGTGATAACTACTACTATAAAAAGAAAGTTAGTTGTTAAAAGGATAAAACAAGTGTTACATATCAAATGGCATTTTCATTTCTTGATTGAAATGAGTTATGAATATAGTTGCCAATCTTTTTTATTATTACATCATCTTTTGAAGTCATCAAGAAATTAAATTTCTGGAGATCATCCTGTGTTTCTTGTGGAAATGTAATGTCTTGTATGATTTGTTGGCGTATTACTTTATATTGTGATTTCATAACAAAGTGAAGTTCATCTTCTATTTCATTCTGTGAACATTGTTTGCAAATTCTATTTTCAGTAGGTATTTTTGGTTGCATATGTCTTCCTTTTTCTATTGCTAAATTGTGATTACTAGTTCGAAATTTTGTCATTGAAATTCTTTGTTTCAAATTCAGCACATCCAAGTATTTTTCAAAATTATAAGAGTCTTTGAATTTTTCATAAGTTCTCAGCTTTGTTTTTTCAGTTATATTTTTTCACTAGAACCTTACTAGTATGTATTTTTGTTTGACAACTTTGCTAATTTGCTGTATATGTTTTGTTAACAAATCATTCTGTTGTTCTCGTGAAAAGTTCATGTTGTTCATCATTTTTTGTATTGAAGAGTACCATTGTAAATTGGATTTCTTTTGTTCAAGGTATGCTTGTTTTGTGATATTATTGTCTGGTAATTTACTGATACGAGTCCAGTATTTTATTAAATTGATCTGAATATCTACTAAGAGTGGGAATTCTCCTACTTCGGCTCTGCATGCAATGTTTGCCACAAATTTGTTCAGTCCTAGTAGTTGTTTGTAAAATTCAATTGTGTTTTTTCTGTTATTGTTTTGTTCCATTTTGTACTTGTTGTGGGGATATACTAGTTCATCATTTTGACAGACCACACTTATATCTTCACAAAGTCGAATAAGTGGAATGAATCGACCAACCAGTACCTCCGAATTTTCCGTTCATTCGCCCTATGACAAACATCGTTGTACATGTAGTTGCTTTGAAGCAGGAGTTTAATCCTACAATGAAACCCTGAATAATAGTTGTCACTAGATGGCGCTATATAACTAAATTGCACTTGCAAAATAATAAACAAAAATACGCGTTCACCTCAAGTCCAATCTTTAACTCTTGTGAACATTTGCGTGCATTTAAGCGAACAGAATATTTAAAGACGTTGGAATTCCATGTGTTCTATTGTTGTCACGTTAATCTGAACAAGGCCTTGATTGCACTTGTTTGTTGAGCACTTGATTTGTTCTGGACTAGCCTTAGTAGTTCATGTGGGTCCGTTTGTCAATATTGTAAGACAGACTAATGTAGGGACAATAGTGGCCTCAGAGGGTAACCAAAGTTCGATCATATTTCGCCATTATGCACTTAAAGACGTTTGTCGTATCATTGGATCTATTGTCTGGTATCCATTGAACGGCCGAGTAGAGTCCTATTAATGAACAAACTGCAATGAAAGGAAAACACATCTACGGTAATTGGCGTTTTTCGTGTGAGTGGTTGTACTTCGTGATGAGGTACCGTGTACTTTGCTCGGTCGCTCAGTAGGTTGAACGCATTAAATGAAAAAGCACGCCATCGTCACAAGGTTAATAAAGGGTGGCAGTCGTCGTGCCGCGTCCTGTTCGATATGGGACTCATAGCGACGTATACAACGCGTGTAAAATACATTGTTTATTTACATGAAATTCGAACACGCGCTGCGCGACGACCACTGCGCTTTAAATAAAACCGTTGATTCGACATTGTAGGTATAAACAGATCTTTACCAGATACCCAGAATACAACTCAAAGAACGAAGTTTTATGTTTTTAAATATTGCGTCATAGGGAAAACAGTGTTTTTTTTTACCACAATTCATAAATATTCTTGCGCATAATTATCCGTTACAGGATATTTTAATGTTTGGCAATGACATTTTCTGTTAAATAAATTCATTTGATCCGATAGATCATGTATGTAAAACATGGTAGTTTGCCTCAAAGAGTCAGTTTTACATAATAAATGTGTCTACTTACTAATAAGCAAATACAATTTGCTAAACAACTGAATTTAGGGTCCCCTAGTATGATACACATCACACCCGGAGTCAGAATGCACATACACCCATTTAGCTTTTGTCTCGACTTCGAAATCTCACTAAAATAGAAATGACGTTCAGAAATGATGGACAGATCAAATTCGGACAACGTGACAAGACGATAACGACAATTTCAGCCCAACTGTGTTACTTCGCGCTGTGATTCTCTATTTTTTGTTGATTTAGTTGTCTGTTCGACTAGGACAGTCTTCCTGAATGAAATTACTTGATGTACAGCCACATCATTTGAAACAAACGCTATATTGTTGTGCGGGCGATATTTTGGTCAGCTGTTCGATCATTCCAACATTTACAAGAAACGACAACATGTTCATAATTGTGTGATATTTCGAACCAGACATTTATTTGCCAAGTCGTTGCATGATATACATATATCAGGAACGCTATTTCAGTGAGTACAACCTGAATAGGTTTGAACGAGGGTGAACTAAAATGGCTGTCTTTATGACGTACTAGGACAAACATACCATGTAGCAATGAAACCACTTAGTATTTTTTTGAAATATCCTTCTCGAGCTAATACTAGGAGGTCACGGCGGCATTGTCAATATTTTGTGTTGTTACTCAAATGCTTTGTATTATTGTTAGGGTATATCAGAAAATACTGTCATTGTCATGAGAAGTATTGATTCCTATTCCCGCGTGATAATCACGAAGTGTATCTCACTACTGCAATACTGACTTGGAAGCAATGAACAAGTTATATTTCACATCACATTTAAATTATATCACAATAGTTCGAATGTTCGATTACATAAGATATGGAGAGAGGGTTCACCGCATAAAAATAGAAACCTACGCATAGATGACATAACAAGAATTTGTTCAAAATAAATATCATGGTGTTGTATTGTGGCGTTATCAATAGATGAACACACCAATGTCACAGTTCTATATCGAACGAGTTTACAGTGATGTGATCCGATAACTGAATACAGTGAAAAAAAAATCCTTCAAATAAACGTAAAACGAATATATTCGCGAGGTCGGTGTCATCCTCATTTTCAAAGCACTCAAGGTAACGCCCAGTCTGCATTCACCAATCAAATCTGACGTCACTGCACGAGCGTTGCTTTTAATTTAATAATATATATATACTGTATAAATAATTTAAAACGTACGTGTCCTTTATTAAAGCGCGATAGTCGTCGCGCTGCGCATGTTCGACATTTGTGTTGATAAACATTGATTTTCCCACAATCCAATGCGCTCTTCAAATGGAAATCACAAGTATGAGGTTTGACCTGGGCGCGACTTGCACTGATTACCGCCGGTGACTCCTTCGATGCCTTCCAATAACATGAAAATTGCCTATAAATTAAAGCTTGGAAACGTGTCAGTTCGTACTCGTTGATCTGAGCAACAGTCAAAGTCGCCATCTTTGTTTATATGAGACCCATATATCTCGCACATGCGCAGCGTGACGACTACCGCGCTTTAAGTAATACTTTTCTGCGACGGTCGCTGTATTTTGTCCGCCCAATATATACTTATCGTATATATGTCTGTCTGTAACGGAAACCCGTTACGGAAACCCACGCACAACCAGACACTGTGTAAATTCAATCTTACGTCACATCAACTGTGAAGGCTGAAAACCAGACATTTTTCTCATATTTGAACTTCACGTTCAGTCATCCGGAGGGGCTGGATTCGATGTGTATGTACCATTTCTCACTTGCCATTCATATAGTGGACCAATCGCATCGATGCTGTATGGCTATAAGTAGGAAAATACATCAGTTAGTTAACGTTGTTAAAACAGTAACAATATCCACCGAAATGGTGATTATATTACCATACGCCAAATAATGACGCATAGAATAGAAGATTGTTAGTTATTTCAAGTACGTGTTATTAGCTGCATCTTGCTTTCAATCGTTCTGTTGAAGGGTTGACACAATATGGTGTAGTTTCATTTATTAGTTGAAGGGCGGTGGGCGTCTCGCCACGCATGTCCGAGATGGGGCTCATGTGAACAAATACGGCGACTTTAACTGTTGCACACACCAACTGAGAAGTTACAAAGCCTTAACTATATAATATTTGGTTATTGTAGGGTACCGAATGAGCTACTGGTAGTAATTAGTGCGCCCAGGTCAAAACTCGTACTCGTGATTTCCATTAAAAGAGCACATTGAACAAATGTCACACATGCGTGGTGCGACGACCACCGTCTTTTAAGGGCTCATACCACTAATTGAATTTCCATAGACGACAATGTTAACATATGACGAGATTGCTATATGAAAATGACGAAGAAAGTTGAAAATTTGGCTCAAAAATGGGAAATCAACATGCCAGTAATCAACCATATGAAAAAAACTAACATGTTGGCCAGCTCAAACTCTTGCAAATCTCAGGTAAACAAGACACACCTACTGTATTTGGATTGCACCAAGAGAAATCACTGGAAAAACACCAAGATTAGAACATCCATTAACACACAGAATAAACCCACAGGTACACAGCCGCTAAGTAGTAAACAAAAGACCACATGTTGGTCTCACCTCTGACCCAGGTGATTACGCCCTCAAACAGGGAGCACCTGAGAAAAATAATATTTAAAAAATTTCATTGGTTCTTGCTGGGCATTTAAATGGCTACGAGCAGCCATTGGTTAATTAGTGGCATGAGACCTTCAACGAACTGATTGTCACCAGTCTGAGATACACTTAAAAAGTATATGAAAGTATTCTCTTGACTATATGAGCAATCACAGTGGTGATTGCTGCCCGAATTGCATTTAACTCAGTCGCTGCGGGGGCACTCCATTTCGCATGATTACGCAAGAGAGCGTAGTGATCTCAAGATAACACGATACATCCCACAATGCAACTTCACGAGTTAGGACGGTTGAACAGTTAGTTACTAAGTAGTCAGGGAGTGAGAGTCAAGTTGAGTAGAGGAAAGGAGAGCGCAGGGTAGCTGGTCAACGAGAGAGTTGGGTCGAAGACCGAGTGAACATACCCCAAATTCAACCCAGACAGCGTCTCCCGGACGACGAACCAATCAACCAACCCCAAAACCAGAAAGAATAAGCTAATACACGCGTAAAACCCGATGACATGATCATGAATAGACGACTTCGCCGGCTGCTGCGTCATCACGGAATGCGCGCCGAGGCAGAAAGGAATCAACTTGTTGTGTAAGAAGATGCATACTCCTACCGACTGGAAGTCGATCAATGTTCATTGGTCCCACAGTCAGGTGGCGCACATCTGATACAATAAAATAAATGCGATATTTACTATATGGGGGCCGCCATCTTGAATGACGCATGAAGCTAAATAAGAGACAAGTTGTGAAACGTGTTTTTCAGATTCCTACAAATCAGGACAAAAATATCAATATTTCACAAAAATACGGTCCGTTGGTGTTATATTAAGCCAACCGATAACAAAATT